TATTACTCAACAGTCGGAAGTAGTTTTTCCATAGCAAAACAATATTAGGGTGTGGGTATGGGTGTGGGTGAGGGGTGGGTGTGGGTGCGGATGTGGGTATGGGTGGATGAGTGTGGGCGTGGGTGTGAGTCTGTATTAAAGTCTATACCACTACCCTGCTACATCCACACCCACACCCTCAAGATGCTACCATTCAAATATCGCTCGAACTTTCATCATCTTTCTGTCACTATAGTTACAGAACGCCTTTGTGCAATGGAATCAATAATGGTCGACATCTTCTGCTTGGCTCGTATTCACGTTTCAATATTAATGTTACAGTTTTACCTATATGGTTTGCTGTATTATTCATATTAACTGCTTTGAGCGTAGTCTTCTGATACAAAAGAAGCAACGAGATGTGTGAAATAACATGTAAAGAAAAGGAACAAGACCGGAGATAAAAAATGATCAATCTATTTCGCATGAGTTGATGTGAATACTTTTCAAATGTGATCTACCTATCGTTTTTTCCTGCTGATAGATTTTCTCGCAGAGATTTCAAATTTTTATTTCAAATTAATGTATCAGATTGAATTAAAGAAACTTTTTTAATTCTTGAGGGTGTGTGTGTGCTCTCTGTAATCACTCACACCCACAGCTATGCATAAGTCTCATTTCTTCAATTAGGTTCTCTTGATTGGTATTCGTGATGATGAAGTATCCGTTGGAACAGTTGGTTTTGTAATTCGTATCTTCTTTTTCACATGAGCTTTTGGTACTCGTGGTTGTCGTAATATTCTCTTTCCAACTGGTGTTTGTCGAAATTCTTTGGAATAAGTTGTTGATGGTAATACATATAGAATAAAACCTAACATTTGAGGTAAATATGAAAGAAAATAAGTTGTTAATAGAGTATATCGTTGCCATGATTGTTTCAATTCGGTACATGAATATGAAAATGCTAGAATAATTTGTGGTAATGAACTAATAATAATAATTATCGGTGTTATATATTGTTCTTTTTGTGTTTTAATTTGTTTGATAAATAAATTAAAAAATGTTTGATTACTTATTCGTACTCGATTACAAGCAACTTGAATAAATAAAATTGTTATTGCAATAATCTGAATAAGAAATGGAATAAGATAATGAATAAATACATTGATACGATGATAAGTTAAAATCAATGATTGAGTATAATTAGTCACACAAAGAGTAACATTTCGAGATAAATTAGAATAATCTACAATAATTGTATAAAACATCATTTCATGAATATGCATACTAAACAAACATACAATGACAAAGATAATCATTATGATAATTCGATGTTGATTTTTGAATAGAGAAGATGTTGGAAATAAAACTAAACGTAATCGTTCAATAGTTATTAAACTTGTTAACCAATATGTAATTCGTGTTAAAACAGATAATAGATAAGAAAGAATTTTACATGAATAAAGATTAACATTGGCATAGAAAAATAATATTCCATGATATCCAAGTATAGTATGAATAGTTTTCAATAATAATAACAATAATGAACATTGATCAATTATCGAAATAATAAGTAAATAATTTCCAACACCGCTCTTTCGTGATTTAGGACGAATAAATGTCAGAAAACTATTGAAATTATTCAATAATCCAAATAGAAATATCAAACAAACAATGATAATATAAACAGTAATAGATATTCGTCGATTATTATCTAAATCTTTAATAATTAATGAATCTAATGTAAAACTCATCCATTCTGTTGAATATTGACACATATGTCCATAAGAACATCGTCGACAAAGACAAAGAAAATCGACTTTTTCTTTTAAACAAAAACCACTCGATACACAATGTGAACATTGATCAATGGAATGATTATATCCAAAACATTCAGCACGAGAATGATTCAATTCACAAATACAAAAATAATTCCAATCACGAAAACAAGTATAATTTCGTTTATTTCGATTCAATTGACAAAGACGATGATAAAAAAATACTGAAATTGTCGAATTCTTCTCTTCACTCGATTCCATTAAATACCATAATGGACAATAATTTTCTAATGTTAAGTCGACGGTTATATTAATAGTCTTTTTATTCGGATGATAATATAATAAATAATATTCGGATTCATAATTCAATCGATAGATTTTCATTATCGCCATTACTGGTGCATATTGATCAACTTTACCAATATAAATTGGTTTTAATTGTGAAGGTAAACTTGAATAAACTTGTTGATAACGAATGAGAAAACGTAATGTTTCTTGATCATAATCGTTATAGAAAACTGTTGTCGCAAGAATATCATTGATTGAGAATGATGAATTGATTCGAATATTAACCATTCCTTTAGAGAATTCACAATGTTTACCTTCATAAAAATTTGTACATATACAAATATATTCATTGATATTAGCTAAATTCGACGTAATAAAACAAGTTCCTTGATTTAAACATGGATTGAATTGACAATATTTGTTTTTAAAATAACATCTTGGACCAAATGTGGATAGTGGACATAAACAGTACGGTTCAGATTGATTTCCTGTTAAAATTCCACGATATTTTGGTTTACATATAGCATTTAATGAACAATAATCTCGACATTGATGATCATAATATTCACAATAAAGTCCATAGAATCCATTTTGACATAAACAAAAATATGATGAATCATTTCTATTGATTATTTGTTGACAAATTCCATTTTTCGTACATGAATGATTTGATGAACATGATGATGATGATAATCGAAGAATTTTTGCTAAACGAAATGAAGGAAGAAAATCGAATTCAATAGAATATTTCCAAACTCCAATGATATCAATTGTTTCATTGGAATTTAAACGATAGATTTCAAAACGAATATTATATAATTGTGTTCCATTTCGATAGATTTGTTTGAAATGTAAATATTTTTCAAATCGAGGATAATTAAAATAGATTTGTTGTTTAAAAGAATTAGAATGAACATAAAATTCATACAAATCAATTATCTCATTTTCATATGAAAATATTGCTAAAACTTTTACTTGATTCCGCAATATAATTTGCTGAAGACTTGTTAGAATAGTTAGTCGATCACTATAATATTCACATTGTAATCCATAGAAATTCGGTGGACAAAAACAAATTGTATGACCTGTTAAATATTTCACTGCTAAACCACGATTGCAAATAAATGGTAAATAATCTTTTTCAAATGTTATTCCACTGTTTTCAACATTATCACGAATATTTTCATAAATTGTTTGATTAATATTGGAATTCTCTTGACCAAATATTCGAGTTAGATCATTCTTAAATATGATATTCAATCTCATATCTGTTTTATTTTCAATTAAAACTAAAGAAGAATTCTTATTTAAAAATGGATAAATTGATAAATTAATTGGCAGAAATTTAGTTGTTTTAAACGATCGATATCTAACCGGTGATTGATTTTCTGGTACACAACGATATTCATCTTCGCCATGAGCACATTCAATGATTCCATTACATCTAGCATTTTTAATACAAATATCATTTAAACATAAAACATCTTTGTCTGTATTACAACTACTATTTGTGCCATTTTTATACATTAGTCGACGATGAAAACAGACTGAATCATAAGCAAGATTAGAACCTGTTGTCCATGGATAACGTTGACTACATGTGCGTGCATATGGAATACAAAGAGTATGATTATATTGAACATGATAACCTAACATTCCATTTTGTAAACATTGCAAATGATTACGTTCGTCAAGAGCAGTTAAACAATCGATTATACCATCACCAATTTGAGTTAAATTGATACATGGACGATGAAATGAAATATTAAATATATCATCGATACCAACTCGAAAACATGGATATTCAAATGAAAGATTACAAATATTAGCAAATGGAATTAGACTTTGTTGATAACATTGTTGTTTGAATTGAGTTAGATTTTTTAAATTTAAATTATGTTCCTTGAAATCATTGATTATTAAAAGACGTTCTTCATCTGATCCATCACTACAATCCCATTCACCTAAATAGTATATATATATATATATATATATGTAAGAACGATATAAAATAGATAAATATATACCATCACAAATCCATTCTTGTGGAATACATTGTCCAGATAAACATTGATATTGATCAGTTGAACAAATCCATGATTGACATAAGTCAGGTAATTCATCAATAGCTGATTTCGTATCAAAAAATGAATTACAATATAATCGAAATGAAATGATTCTTGTTGATTGATCAACAGAAATGATTTTCTCCGTATTATTCATTGATGAACTTTGAATATATTTTCGAAGATAATTACATTCTGGATCAGTCTTTTGTTTACAAGCTATATTAATCAACGGAATGGTATCACTTTCATCATTATCATCGATTTCATCTCGTCCATCAGGACAATCAGTAAACCAATCACCTAATGTACCAACTAATAAACATGTCTGTTCAGATGATGAACATTGGAAACGATGATGTTGAATTTGTGAACATGTATTTTGAATAGATTGATCTTCTTCATATTTATCACAATCCCATATTCCATCTCTTATTCGATACTTTGAAATACATCTTGATTCACAAAAAAATGAAACTTGATAAGAATGATTGTTTGATGTTTTCGAATCATTCCAACAATTTTTATCATAATGTAAACCGGTATAATTTGGAGTACCTCGACGTTCTTTAAAATTACAAATCGTATTTTCTAATTTTCGATAATCATAATATCGAAAAATGGCATTACCAAGTTGTGACGGTTCAAAAGGTTTAGTAATCATTTGATAACCAATACATTTGATTCGACCCTCAAATCTAATCCTATCCGGTTTCTTCTTCTTCCAATTACGATCTCGTTCATATACCATATGAACATAAGGAGTAAGTAATGCACCCGATGTTGGATAATTCAGAAAAGAATCTGAACATGTATTATTAATTAATAAACGACATTCAGTAGAATTTTTACAATGACAATCTTGATCAAGTCCGTCACTCAATGCACATTTTAATGCAAATGTACATTGATCTGCAATAATAAGTGAATCAAGATTGAATATTCTATAACTTAATGAATAAGGTAAACAATATCCATTAGTGATTGTCCACCAGGATTTCGAATCTCTTTTCACTGCTTCACACATATAATTAACATCTCGCATATTTTGACAGAATTCATATTGAGATTTTCGAATACCTTCAAATCGATCAGTATCAAAATTAACACATTGACCTAGAGAGAATCAAACATCAAGTATTAAATGAAAGCAAATAATTACCATCACCACATGACCATTGATGATATTGACAGACATGTTCATCACAAATTAATGAAGGTGTACTGAAACAACTCGCTCCTGGATTAGCGAGAATGCCTTTTTCATCTGTCCAATCCATACAATCGAAATCACCATCTAACCAATATTCATCAGGAATACACATTCCATTTGCACATCGATATTCATCATCTTCACATTCATTAAATTCTAATCTTTCACAGTAATCTTCATCGATACCATCCATACATTGTTGTTTACCTATAGAAATACAGAACAAAAACGAAATCTATTACAAAAATGCTCAGCACATTCTATCTTAATCACCATCACAGATATGTCTCCAATCTAAACACATCAATCCGGAATCACATTTCAATGTTATATAACATGGTCGATTATTATGAAGTTGACTACCAACATGAATCTTGCCTGAACTCATTGGAAAATGTTCAAGTGGTTGAAATTGTTTTTTAATAGCATCATTGAAAAATGTACTATCACCATAAAATTTATATTCACAAAATTTTCCAAATGACGATAGATTTGTACAATTACATAGGTAAGCATTCGTCATATCAAACAATTTATTCGATAAATATTGTGAATAACGATCAGTTTGTTCGAGACTTGAACTCCATTGGAGAACGTCAGATGGTGATATATTGAAAGATGATAATTTTTCAAATGTCCATAATTGACCATTATTATGACAGGATTGATTAAAATCACGTTGAAGTGTTTGACTTCCATTGAATTGACGACAATATTTAATGTCTTGAATATTATCTTGAATTTTTAATCGTGTATAATAAATACAATCATAATATTGTACTGAGAGTGAGTTTTCTGTATGATAGAGTAATACATAAGCATTCGAAAATGTTATGAAATAACCGAGATAGAATAAAGAATAAATCAGTGTCATTGTGACACAAATCCAATGTAATTTATTATCAATGATATAAATGTGACTTTGACAAGAGAAAAAGGCGAAGAAGATCATATTTCTTTTTATATGACAATCTCTTTATTTATCTTTAGTGAAGGTAGAACATGTTTTATAGAAAGAAAAAAATCAGGGCTAAAATTAATTTTTTCACTGAAAAGATACAAGATTAGATTCAATGATAAAATTTATATTCGTCAATATCAAAATTATCGATAGATATTTTTGAATCCTAATCATCCATGAACATCATTTTTGGATATCGAAATGTCCAGACAGTTTTATTCATGTACTGAACACCAAGTTGTTCAAGACGGTTGTAGACCGATTTTGCCGGAGATACAAGATTAGCGTTAGCACTCGTCTGTATATTTCCCGACCAAAATGGTAAATGATGCAGATATTTACCGAAGACCATTTCGGAGAACTTGAAATACATAGGAGTGTTTAAAATATGCGCATGCCATGCTTTGTCAATCATTTCCGATGGTTCACCTTTGATTCCAAGTTTTATTGCAGTATAAAAGTTTTCGAGTTCAGCAATTGTATTGAGTGCATCTTCTTCATTCATGTACTCCTTCATTTGCAAACGTTCATTAAGATATTGAATATCTTCATCTGGAATACGAACAATATCGTTACATCCACAGCCGAGAAATACATAAAAGAGAAAAAGAGAAATCATAATAGAAGAAAGTATAACTTCAAATAGTTGTAAAAATGAATGCAAGAAAATTATGTTCTTCAACGTTTAATTCTTCGCATATATCCTTTGATCACTGATAACGTGGATCATGTGCTCTATTATTGTGTAGACCAAACGGAATAAATCGTAGTTGGTAATTTCCAAGTCATAATTGCACCGAAAAATAACATTATGGGAACCTTAGCCTGATGTTGTTTGCTTTTTTTAGAACAAACAGAATAAATCATAGTTGGAAGTTTCCAAGTCACAATTGCACCGAAAAATAACATTATGGGAACCTTAGCCTGCTGATGTTTGCTTTTTTAGAACACGTAATAGAAAGTATTACGAAGCATCGAAGGCATTAAGACTTGTTTACGAATCATAATATTCTCTCATGTCAACCCTTTTTCCGTTGGAGCATTTGAAAATCTATATAAATACTCACCGATAACGTAAAGACGCAATCGCAAGCAAAAAAACAATTTTATCTTAGTAATAAGATAAATCGAAGAATGGCTACTTTTAATCTTCCAAAATGCATGGTTATTATGATGGTCCTATTTTTGGTTCTAGAAAGTCATTCTACAGTAGAAGCTGTTCGTCGTGATGAAATCAAGGCTCTCCTCCGTGGCACAAAATTTGCTCAAAATATTCTTCGCGTCAAAACGGATCCACTTCCACCCTGCACGTCTTGTGATACCTGTACAGTTGACTGCTCAACAGGTTGCAAAAGTTGCACAACAGATGCAAAAATCTTTTGAAATCATTACCTACGCTATTAAAATGAACGAACATAAAAAATTATTCACATATATACACATTTTTATTTAATCTTCTAAAAATAAATTTTCAAATATTTAGCGGTGACAGGAGTAACACAGTAATCTCATAAATATTCGCTAGTTGAGGGTGTGGGTGTGGGTATGGGCGGTACTCTTCTCTTCATCCATACCTACACCCATACCCATTTATATTTCTCTTTGTCTTTTATTTCTCTGAACGTGAGGTTAAAGAAAAAAGATAGTGTGATAGAAGCAGAGCAAAAAAAAGAATTGTGCAAAATCTAGATTGTCCATCGAACGTGCTTTTAGTCAAAATAAAATATCAAATATCATTGTCAAAAAATGATTGATGTCATTGAAAAAGTCATGATTAGTTTGATGATTTTGTTGTTTTATTCCAATGTATGAGATAGTGTGTTTGTCAGGACTCGTTTTTAATCAGGTTCTTATTGTTCTAATGAAACAAATGTCAAACACTTTCTCATCTAAACTTTCAAAGAAGAAAAGCCTCTGTGAGTACTCGGATCAGTTTACTCATAAAAAGAAATTCTTGAGGGATGTGGGTGGGTGAGTATGGGTGTGGGTGGGTATGGGTGTGGGTGTGAGTGTCATATTTATAACATATTCACATCCACACTCACACCCATACCACACCCACACCACACCCACACCACACTCACACTCACACTCACACTCACACTCACACCACACCCACACTCACACTCACACTCACACCCACACCACACCCACACTCAGTCCATTCCTAATGCTTTGAAGGTGGATGGGTGTGGAACAGCTCAAAACTCACCCACACCCTCATAGGGAGCTATAAGTAAGTATTGAATGTCTTTTTTCAAACATGATTTTCAAATACAACAGTAAGTTACGTCGATTAATTCGTTACGAGAAGCAAACAAATAAGTAATGTCTTTTGTATTTATTATAATAGTTATGTCACTGAAGTTCACAATATCTTTGATATTAAGTTATTGAAACTGAATAAACTGATTAGGGAGGGGTACGCCTTCGAATACGATTGAACGATTGTTTAAACGCTTTCATATACAATTCTGAAGGAACAACAAAGATAAGAAAAATTAGCATCGAAGGAGTAAAAGAAATAAAATATGCTCCAAGATACAACCACAAGTTCTTAGACGTTTTCGCACAACCAGGAAGTAATGAAATGATAAGACGAGGTATTGATAAAACGAGTAAAACTATTGGACTAATAATCAATTGTTTATGTTCACTGAATTGATCTTGAATATGTTCTTTAAAACTTTGGTTAGTTCGTACCACTGATCGTTGTCGAGCACCTTCAAAGATAATGAACAATGCAGAGAAAAGATTGATAATAAAGGGACCAACAAGATGAAAAAATAGAACGGTTGTATTGTAATCCTGGACAGACGAAGAATAACGAGTGATGCATGATACATATCGCTTGATTGTATCTTCATTAGTCTTACGCGTGTCTATCGTTTCTGGTCCTGTTTCATATTCGAACAATCTGCGAAAAACGAGCTCGTGAATAAGTGTACCAAAAATACAGAATGGTAAAATAAGAATTGTTCGTCGAGCAATAGATTTGCTCTTTTTTTTATCAAAGTTGATTCCTTTAAAAATAAGTACTGCTCGTTCAATTGCTACACAAGCACTAAGCCAACCATCCAAGTACAGGAAAAGTTTTAGAATTGGTTCAATAGATACGCAACCTCCACGAAGAACAGACAGACTAGTGGATCCATTGATATAAGTAAGAACAACAAACCAGAATTTGATTATAAGCATAGTAGTTGCCAAAAGAGAAGTAATAGATGATGCTAATAGATACATTCCACATCCAACTTGTTGAGAATCTTTATTTTGAAATGTAATAAAAGAGAGAATACTATTGATTAATCCTGCGACAAACATAATTATTGTTAAACCCGCGCTTAATTTGATCGAAAATGGTTGATTATTCAATACTGTGTTCGACTGAAGTTCATTGCGTAAAATATCATCGAGAGTCAAACCAATTCCTTTAGTGTAAAAGATTTCTACAAATAGAAAAAATTGTTGAAGAAACTTTTAGTTTTGCAAGATTGAGCCTTCGAAAACTGCATATTCATGAAGATTCAAAAGATGGAAAATCTATCTACAGTTCACGTTAAACCGATGTCTTTTCTAACAGATCAATAATCCCAAAGACTTTGAAAACTATTTAACACAATAACTCGATGGTTTTTTTTTCAAAAACCAAAAACAAGAATTGTGCACTAATCTAAAAAGTACAAAAAATCTTTCTGCATGCGTTATAAGGCTACATATTTGTTATAGAATAGATCGTGTAAATACTTACTAAAAGGACTCAGACTGATATTGTTCGGTCCAGAGATAAAAATGGAGAAATCCCCAATTGTCTTAGGATAGTGTGTTGTCACTACTAATACGTATCGAGTGTTGATCTCGAGATTGATGATTAATTTGAATTGTTCATCATTACATTTGCTGTCATGTGATAGTAGTAAATTTTCCGATGGTTTTAGAGGATTAAAGTCATTTTTGTAGATATATCCATATACATTAATATTACTTTCACTCCAAAGAATATACAAACCGTTTGTATTAACATGAATTTGTAAAGTTTCATAATGGCATTGCGGTACTTGACAATCTCGATAATATGTTGGACTATTATCAGTTAATTTTGATGAATATATTAATTGAATATTTATTGGAGTACCTATTCAATAAAAAAAAGTCAAAAAAATTATACATTTTTGATGCTATTATCTAACATCGACAAAAGCGCAATCTTTGAAATTTTCTACGAACATTTAAATTTACAAGTAAAGTTTAGTAAATGTACCAAACCTAAATTCTCGAAGTGAGTATTCTGAAGTTCGTATTTCAAACAAACATAAAGGTGCTAAGCAATGGAAAGATAATCTTTAGTTTTTCAGTGCCTGGCTCTTAAATGTTTCCAAACATCTCACTGACTATACAATGAAAAATAGAATTGAATTTATAAGACGTACTGTATATTTTGCATGAATTATTTAATATATAACACAAATATCTATGTACTTACTAAGACGTTCGAGAATAACTTTGTTTTTACCAAATATATGGATCGAAAATTTTCCAGTTTCTTTCGATTCATATGTTGTCACAACCAATACATATATCATGTCAACATCAAGATTAATATCAAGTTTAAACTGAATAACAGAGCCACCGTCATAATGTTTATCGAGTAAATTTTCCGAGGGATCAAGCGGATTAAATTTGTTTTTGTAAATAGATCCATACGGATCGATGTCACCACTACCACGAAAAGTGTAGTGACCACTTTCGGTCACCTGCACTTGAATTGATTCATAATAAAAATTTTGTTTATCACAATCTCGGTAATAAATTTGATTGTTGCTAGTCAATGATGATGAATAGATATTTTGGAAAACAGAGAATGTATTGACTAAATAAACAATAAAATCAATTGAAGTTTATCGTGAGTACACAAAGATACTTTATTCACTTTAAATGCACGTCCCTAACCTGTTGAACTAATAACTTGTGCTCAGAAGGATAAAAAACTATTTGTTAATCACAAAGTATCTGAAGCGAATTGAATTTATTCTCAAGTATTATTTGTTTTCCGACATTTTGAAAAGAGAAAACATTATGCAGGTCAATCAGTATCAAAGAGAATCTAATAAAATTCTTTAATCGACATGCATAGCACAATGTTTGACTTTTACATGAAATTTAAAAATTCGAAACAAAATCTGACTAGTGAAAAGAGAGAGAGAGAGAAAAACTTGTAAATTATTAGATTGAACTGAGAATTTTTCTGCAATCAATTAAATAAAACATAATATTCCCTCGACTGAAAGGAGGGTGATACGAAAAAAACGAAAATGCGTTGCTTGCTTGCACGGGGTCAAAGGTCAAAGGTCAAAGGTCAAGGGTAAAAAAAACATCGAAAACTAAATTTTTCGAAAAACACATTTCCAGAGGTTTTCCGATGCGGTGAGTTCGAATCTGAGGTCTTTTGAGTGACTATGGGGTAGG